ACAAGCCCCCCTGGCACCTCTGAGCCAGCCTGGGTTGGTCGCTGCATGGCCAACCATTGGCCACACATGCTGGGACAGACTCTGCTCCTGACACCCTGACCCAGAGATTGTGTTGCCCTGTGGGGCCGAGCCAACTCTCAGGATCTCAAAATTGCGATGTTAGATGGTAGGGTGTGACACAATTGCACATATACAAAAGCACAACTCAATTAGGCACATACACACACACACACGCTACCAAGTCAGGCACATACACATCCAAGATTACCAGCCTAGGTACATGCATACCTATCACAAATCCAAGAACAGACACACTACACACACCAAAAATTAGACAAAATCAGTTACCAACACCTGCACAACCAACGTACACATACATGCAAGTGAGTTCCTAACTTGGGTGGGATGGTATGTATGTGTGTGCTTAGGATACTTGGAATATCTAGGGTGCTTGGTAACTATGGGAGGGGGAATCAAGGGTCAAAGATCTCTAGAAGGAGGAAGATGGATGGGGTTAAAATGAGAAAGTGAAAGCACGAGGAGTGAAAGTTGTTGGAGCCAGGATAGAATCTATGAATCTATGAACCGGCAGGGGGGGGGGAAGCTGGGATTACTTAAGGTCAAGTGGCCCCAGGGTTACTCAAGGTCACTGGTGCAAGGGAAAAAGCCCAGTGGCAAGGAAGAGACATCCAGGAAAGTGAGAGAGGCAGAAAGCTGGGAGATCAGGGGGCAGATAAGTGGTGGCAAGGAGGGAACAGTCAGGAAACAGGCAAAAACCCAACTCAGGGTTTCAAAATAACAGGTTTATTAAACCGACAACACACTACACAGCATCATGAAGTTATTGGTTCCTACACATACACACACACACACGCACGCACGCACACACACACAAGCAGTCACAATGGCAGCAGGAGAAAGAGACTCAGTGGAAGGGTTGGAGTCCAGGTAGGGAAGAGAAACAGAGTCCAAGTCCTGGGTTGAAGAGAGGGTGGGGGTGATAGCTATCTATCCAGGCTGGAAGGGAGTCCTTGATGGCCAGTCAGGGTCTTTGTCCAGTAGGTGTTTTCCAGAGGGGGGTCGCCGGCAGGACCTCTGGGTGGATAGGTGGTGTGGCGTGGTGCTGGTCCAGATGGAGAAGGCATCCCAAGGAGTAAGTCTTCACTACCCCTTTTTATGGGGCAGACTGCCTATTATCTCCTATAGGGTGGGCAAGTCCAGGCAAAATCAGCCCTGTTCTAGAGGGTTCCAGATGTTCATATTGAGAATGTGCAGCCTTTGCACAATGATGGGTTGGCTGGTTTCTGCAGCAGTCTTTGTCTTCCAAATCTTGAGCCAGGGAGGGTCAATGCAGGGTTGGGTCATCGAGCTGATGGTTCGGTCATTCAGAGGGCGCTATTTTTAGACCTACTGCCATTGTTTCTCAAGCACTCATCCCCATTCATTCAGGAACCAATTTACATAGGAGGGGTAGGTATGAGTCACACAGTTACAACATCTTACACAACAGGGCATGGGAACAAGATGGGAACAAGATGGGAACCTGACACACAAAATGGATACTTGACATCACTCATGCCAACACACATTGAAGGCCTAAATCATACAATGTTAACATGAAACAATAAAAATCAATGCACAAATGATAGGAATACAATATAATACAATATAATACAATAAAAAACAATACAAACATAACAGAACACTATTTACAATATAAAAAGGGGCTTATTACAATAATAGCACACAAGAACTTAGCTTACCTAGTATTACTTGTAATCACTTACAAGAAATAGAGAGATCAGAGAGAAAGTTAGAAATGGTTAGGGGAAGGAGAGGGAATGTATTTCAAAATAAAAAAAAGAAAAACTGGGGGTTTTGCTACAATTGCTGCCCCTCCCCCTCCCTTTGCTGTTCCAGCTGTGGGATCTGGCCAGACACCATTCCAGCATAGCCCTGTTACAGTGAAGGGGGTCAGGGAGGGGGTTAATTCCTCCCTGCATCCCTTCTGCCCCGGGGGGGCCACAGTCGGGGTCATCCAGGTCCCACCCCCTCCTCTGCTTGCAGGCAACAGGCAGACCCCAGCTGTGGTGCAGAGGGAGGGGAAGGAGGGAAGAATTAACTCCTTCCCTGTCCATTCTGCTTTTATGGAGCCATGCCTGCCAGTATCTCACCAAGTCTGTCCCCATCCCTGTTCCGACTAGAGAGCAAAAGGGAGGGGCCAGCCCTGCTCTCTGGAGCAGAGAGCACAGCCCAGCCCAGAGGGCATGCTGGGGTGCTGGAAGACTCTGGTTTAAATTAAAATAGGAAGGGATCTGGGATGGATGTTGCAAAAACCAATTTGACCAAAATTGGTATAAGTCTGATGCTACATTCAACCAGGTTTATCTTAAATGAGTTTTGGCCATTTTGAAACTGGGTTATGTGCACTGAACTTATGTTCTGTGAAATGTTTAAACCAGTTTCTGATCACTTAAATTGGTTTATGTGTAACTTCTGTCCCTAACCTAGGAGGGCAGTACCCCAAGAGCCTGTGCTGACTGCATGTTTCCCTTTCTATTGAGCAGAGCACAGACAGCTGTGTTAGTCTGAAGTCAGGTAGAAGGCAGGGTAGAATTTGCACCTTATAGGCTGATTAAATCAGAATTATATAGCATAAGCTTTCATAAGCAGCAGGCTTACTTCATCAGATGCTATGATGAAATATCTAACCGGAATCTGATGAAGTAAGCCCACCATTTAGAAAGCTTAAGCCATGCATTTCTGATGTACTGAGTCTACAAGGTGAAAATCTACCTTGCTTTCTGCCTGTTTCCCTTGAGCCTGACACACAAAATCTCTGTGCTTTTGTCTTTCTTTTGATAAAATGGGGATACTTAGAGTTTGTTTACAGTCCTTTTAATGCACAAGTAGGCTGTTAATCAAGCTTCTAAAAAAACTGGCCAGTCAATTAGCTGCTGTCTTAAAAATGCCAAATATTAAAAGACATTGATAAATTGTATGCCCGGAAAAGACAGGCCCTAGATCTGATCATCCCTGATATTTTATCACTTGGGCCAATTTTTAAAATAAAGAATGTCACATCTATCAAATAATATAAGAAGCAGACCTGATCAGAAGTGGTTACAACACAACTGTTTGAGCACATCACCCAGGATTTAGAGTTATGTTTCTTTGTCCTGTTCAATTACACATGTGAGTACTTAACATTGGCAAATAAACACCCCAATGTTTTTCCAGATATCCAAAGTTCTTTCAAACTATCCCAGTGTGCTGGCCTTCAAAGTTGGTTTGAAAGTCTTTCAAGGACATGCTTTGAGTTTCTTGTATTGCCTATGGCCCTTCTTTTAGGTCTTCATTTACTTTTGGTGTCACACAGCTTCTTAAATTTCATGGACAGACTTTCTACAATATTAAATAACATAAATAAGCATGAGGTGGTTTCTAATAACAGGAATAGTTATAGTTTCCTCTTTCCAATGCTGAGATTTACACAATTGAAATGCTTCACAATTCAATAACTTACAACAGGGGCAGATCCAGCATTTGTGTAATTTCACATGGGACATATATAAATCAATACTTATAAACATGTAAGGGAAGAAATAGTTAGGGCCCTTCTTTCAACAAGAGAGACACAGAGCACAGTTTAGACCTAAATGGCTTTTATTCATGTTTTGTTAGTTCTAACACTAGCAATATTAATGAGTACCCCAGACATTGAAGAGCACTCAATATAAGGTCTACAGTCTCCTTAATTTGGCTGCTACTAAGTCAGTAAGAGTAGCATTTCCTTATCTGGAAGAAGAACTGAGCTGTGTGCTATCCACTTTCGAAGTATTAGTAACTACCCCTGCAACAATTCATCTTATGAATTACAGGCTACTGTCTACAGTTCTTTTATGAGAGACAGGTCTAGACGAAGCAGCATTATTGATATTTTAATTTCACTTTTTCCTAGCCATCACAGCTGCAATAAGTGGGAGCCATTTTTCTCAGTGTTTTGCTGTTATAATAATTCTTCGCCTCTCAGTTCCTGATCCTACATCAGCTTGTACACAGAGTACTGCACCTGGTCAAACCCCATTGACTTCACTGTGGCAGGAGTGGAGAACCACATAACAATGGTTAACCTGTTTCTTTTTCTTCTATGCAGAAGCTCCAGAAGGCTGCAAAGTGCTCCCTGCCTCCTAGCCTGGAAACTGCAGGGAAGTTCAGAACCCTCCCCTTCTCCTGTCCCCCACCACCAAACACTGCACTTCTGTCATGTTTAAGAGTGCTGTAACTTTATAGTGCTATAAAAAGTGCTCTAAATTATAGCACTGTAAAACATGTACAGAGAAGTTCTGTACACATCTATTATATGCTTCATGAATAGTGGCTATGCATAGGGGGTACACGGGGGTGCATGTGCCCCCTGAGAGCACCAGTGCACCCCCTAGCAGACTGCACTCCCATTTAGGCAATGGACAGTGGGGCAAGCAGGAGCACTGGAGCCCCCCCTACAAGTGCTGACTGGGGAGAGTGGTCACCAGTAAAAGTGGCTGGCTGCTTCCGGAAGTGGCTGCGGGACTTCCAGAAGTGGTGCAGCCACTTTTTGGTGAGTGAAATCAGCTGCAGGGGGACCTCCCCCGACCTTATCATTGCTATCGGCCTCTGGGGGACCTCAAGAGGCACCAGTTGCCCATGGTCATGAAGGTGGGAGTCATTATTCCAATGGGAGATGGGGTAGAGAGGTAAAATTATGCAAATCCCCAGATGACAGTGTAAAAGTGCCAGAGCCAAGAATAGAATATGGTCCTACTGCATTCCAAACTCACTCTTTCCACTATCCTCCACTTTCCTTTTCTTGAGGGGGATTGTATCAAGATCTCCCTAGTGATCACCCTTGGAGATAGCTCTTTCTTAGACCTTTTTATTTTGGAGAACCGATTTATTTACATTTCACTATGGCTTAATTTAATAAAATGGATAAAAGAATGGGAACTGTTGTTTTGTACTGAGTTTCTTTTGTCTCAAATTTTCATGAACGTATATTCATTTCCATCCTCTTTTATCTCCTTGTACAATAGGTAACACTCTTATGTTCTGGCTATCATGGTTGCACAAAATCCTAACACAATAGTGTTTGTTTATGAATGCAGCTTCCGATTAAAGGGAGGCTATGTTGGGACCCCATGACCTGTGCACCCACCCACGCATTTCATCTTCATGGAAAAAGCAGTTTGATCAAGTTGATTCTCAGTTACCTGTAGAACTGTGGGCAGCCCCTGACACACAGTAACAACACAGCTTGACAACATCAGATTACAGACTTTGGCAAAAAAAAATGTTGGCATCATTATGACACCAAAGACAGGCAGTGCTTAACACCTCTTAAAATCATAATGTTCACTGCTCGTTATTGTGCAAGTGTCATTTTCATTATATAGATTGCACCATAGGTAATAATGGTACAGATGAGAGGGAAAGTTGAAATATGTTAGCGTGATGATCTCTGTTATTCTCCTCCATTCCTGAAACTTTTTTTCCTATTATGAGATCTCTCTGAGGTGTCTTCTGATTTATAATACTAAAGAGAAGCAAAATATGTCAGCTTTCAAGAGCCTCACAATACATTAAAATCCTTCTAAAATGATTTTCCTTAAGGGTAAACTTAAACCCATCATTTTTATACAGGAAAATTAAACGTTAAATCCCAGCTTCATTGAAACACTTAGAATCAGATTTTTTATGTGGGACCCTTCTGCTTCCTGCAGATAGCTGGGTCAAATCATGATTTTTTTTTCTCAAGTTGTATTTAGTTCTTTGTTAGGGAAGACTTCTACTGAGTTCAATAGGAGACTTGCATACATAAATACATGAGCCCCATTCCTGCAACCACTTACACACACATTTAATCTTAGGTATGTGGTATATGGATAGCGCTAAAAAGTATTTGCAAGAAGGGAGCTTAAGGTGGTCCATTTATTTGGTCACTGATAACCTGTTTCCTATCTTCTGAAATTCACAATTCAGCTAAATAGGCAAAGCTTAGTTAACTGTGAACTAATGAACAAACAGGTAAATTAATACAACATAATTCCTATATTTATGTCAAATATATATATATAGTCCTGATGCACCAAGAACTCCCAGCTGTAATGGACAACTGATATACAGTAACTTCATTCATTACATCAGTGAAAAAGAAACACAGATTCAACTGAAATTGCGAAAAACATTCAGGCTAACTCCCAGTGAAACACAGGTAACACACTTGTCTTTAAAGAATATTGTTCATGTTCACAATAGATGTTATGATCTGTAATTATCTGTCATCTAATAAAGCCTACATTTCACAACTTGGGATCAGGGCTACATTATGCTAGGCAGTTCACACACTCCTGGTAAGATAAGCCTTGGCCAGTGAACTTATGGTTATACATGAGTATTCAGCCTCTTATCTCATTGTCAGCACTTCCAACAGTACAATAATCCTGGAACCACAATTGACACAGTAGAGACCTAGACAGAGAACATTAAGCCCTGAAACACCAAGCCTTTGGTGGCCTCAAGTCCTTTATAATGAGATGCAACTCTAACAGCAACTTTACTAAACAAATGATGATGTAGGATGGCCACCGAATACTGCTAACCCTCTGCAGTTTCAGGTGGATTCAAGATTCTTCTTTTCTTTCTCTACTGCAGTGTAAGTTTTTATGCACTGCTCAATAGTTGTGGCACTCCACCTTAGAGATAGCTCCATTTCAATAACAATTCAAACAGGGACCTGGCTATTGTGGTCTGCTTTGTATATAACTTTAAGTATCCTTTGGCAAGAAAGAGATTATATAAATCTGAGCTATTACTACTGGAAAGTTATGTAGGTCAATACAGTCTTGATAGGTTTGAGTATTTCTTTTTATGTTACTTCTCATTTTATCATAATGCTTTTTTAATTACACTTTGCAACTAATAAGAATGACAATGCAATAAAAAGAAAGCAATAATCAGTGCCAAGGACCCTTATATCTCCTTTTCCCACATGTGCTAGACACCTCACTAGTTTTTTTCTGATTATGTTTTGGAATTTTTTCAAAGTTACAAAGGTGTAGCTCTTTCTGGCTTGATATACAGAAAGTTTAAAGCTGTTACTCTTGTTGCATTTGGTTTTGAGATGGGTTTAAGGCTCCATGTCTGTATTTGCATACCGGTTATAAATACCTCAGAAAGGTTTGAGCTGGGGTTTTAGTGTAAGCCTTATCTTGAATTCAAATGATTCTGTTTGATGTCACTGCACTTATGTTTGCAGCCAGACATCCTGTAAAAAAGCATGATAAAAAGGTTATGATTAGATACTTACGGAGGAAAGTAATATTTAATGCAGTTAAGCCTGAAGAGAACACCATGTGCCTACTTTGTTTTGGATCATGTGGGTCTGCCAGCTGGCATGTAGATGTTAGAGCCAACATGCCAGTATTGGTGTCTCCCTTCTGGTAGACAGATACAGTTTGTGTGTGCATACAACACAGGACTAGCTGGATCACAAACTAACACGCTTACATGGTCAGGTGGCACTAGCTTTCTTGGCTTAGCTGGGCTGAGTTCATCTCTGTAGGAGGTGACTCTGTGGTTTTGTTGGTAGCATTTGCAAAATTGGGCATGACTAAGATGAAATCTGACAAACTCCAAGCTCTACTCTCTCTGAAAGGAATCCCGTGTAATGATGTTCACAGCCAAATTTGCCATTTTACGTATCCATGTTCATCCTCATGCCATGTGACCTGCAACAGCTGCTCGTTCACCAATTAGAAAATTTCTAACTGATGCATTAAAAACAATTCTAATTAAACACTATAATGGAACTATCAATCTGTGTTACTGAGGCAGAACAGGGATGTAATTAGTTATTGATACAAAAAGATTTGTTTAGACTAGGTTTTGGTTTGCTGTCAACTCTACAGAATTTAACTGAATTTGTGTGTGGCTTGTAAAAACATGCACTGTTATCTTTCTCTCATTTTAAAGATACAAGTAGGAGCAAGGCCTATTAATTGATGTATATATTCATCTTGTGTTCATCATCTTGGCATATAAGTGCCTGGCACATTTACTTGGAAAATGTATTCCTCTTATTGGTATTGCATTGTCTATTTATCCACCTGATCTATTTATCATATTGTCATAGACTCACCCCCCCGAAAAGGTTGCATTTGGAATTTACTGTGTGGCATGCATGGGTATTCTTCCAAATTAAATTTACTCCTGTGGTGTTTGGTCTTTGCAAATAGCTAGTATGAAGCTGTATTCAGTTTTGTCATTTTTATACCTGTCTGTATTACAATATTTGATATAAAAATGCTTTTGTTATTTCATAATGTAACTGGAAGATAATCAAGTAAGGGTGAGCATACACCCAAGGGTGATCCAGTTGGTATGAATCTTTGCCAGACATATGGTTAAGGAACAATATCTGCTTTAAATGCAAAAGATCAGGTGAGGTAGTTAGCTTTTCTCACATCCAATCATAGATTCATAGAGTCATAGAAGTTAGGGGCTGGAAGAGACCTCATAAGATCATCAGGTCCAGTTCCCCTGGTCTTAGGCAGGAAAGACTGCTGAGGTCAAATGACCCCAGCAAGGTGTGCATCCAGTCGTGTTTTGAAGATCTCCAGGGTAGGTGACTGTACCAACTCTGGGGGGAGTCTGTTCCAGACTCTGGACACTGGAACCATAAAGGTTTTCATATGTCCAATCTGAAGTGATCTTGTAGCAGTTTATGTCCATTATTCCTTGTCTTTCCTTGGGGTGCCATAGTGAACAGATGCTCTCCCAGCCCCTGATGTTCGCCCCTTATATATTTCTAGGTTGCCACCAAGTCCCCCCTAAGTCTTCTCTTTTCAATTCAGTTCCATCTGTTAACACTCTCTGAGTCTAACCTCAGAGCCAGTTTTCTAGCCACTGGACCATTAAGTTGTTGAGGCCACAATTTCCCAATTTTACCGTGAGGACATCATGGGACATCAAAGGCCTTTTAAAATACAAGTATATGATATGACATCAACCTCATCTCTCTTATCCAGGTGGCAAGTTACCTGATTGTAGAAGGAGATGAGGTTGGTCAGGCATGACCAATGAAGCCATGCTGGCTGTCATTTAGAATACTGCCTTCTGTTAGCCTATCGCTGATGGATTCTTGATATTTTTTCCAGGATTTTTCCAGGGATCGAGGTCAGACTGATTAGCTTATAATTTCCTGGTTCCTCTTTCCTTCATTTCTTGAAGATAGGCACCACATTGGCCCTCTTCCAGTATTCTGGGACCTCTTCCAAGAACTATGAGTTCTCAAATAGTTTTACCATTGGTTGTGTGATGGCGTCAGCCAGTTTGTTCAGCACACTCAGGTGTAGTTCATCCAGTCCTGCTGACTTGTAGATATCCAGCCACTCTAGATAGTCCCTCACAAGATCTTCTCTGATTATAGATGAGTGATCACCCCCTCCTTGTCCATCCTGCATTCTGTCAGGCAAGCTAACACTTACAGTCTGGTGGAATACTGATGCAAAGTATTTATTTAGGAGTTCGGTTTTCTCCTGAGTGATGGTTGTCAGCCGTCCCACTGCATTCAGCAGGTGTCCTACATTTCCCTTATTTTTATCCTGCTTCCTACATATCTAAAGAAGGACTTTTTATTGTCCTTGATTCCTGTTGCTATTTCAAATTCTGTTTCTGCCTTTGCTTTTCAGATCTGCTCCCTACAGGTGAGGGCCATTCCTGCTTTTTCCTTCTTGGAGGTAATTTCCAACTTCAATCTCTTATAAGCTTCTCTTTTCATTTTCAGGAGGTTCATGACCTCTCTATTGAGCCAATGCTAGACCAATGCTGGACCAGAAAGGTGGTAACAATGGATGTTTGAGGAATGATAAGCTTTCCCGTTCAGAGGGCATATTTGCTCTTTGTACAGATTAAAAGAGCAGATAAGTAAAGTCGTCCAAAAACTTTTGTCCAGAAAAGGGTGTCACACAAGGC